CTTTTTGTAGCCTAAGCCTGCTTTAAATTTCTCAATAACTTTATCCCTGACCTGTCTGGTGTGTTCTTTAGACTTCATGGTGTTGTTGCTCCCAATATTCTCTTAGACAACCTCTGAGGCTGTCACAGAGCAGCTGTATTTGTACTGACATTAGATTACACACAGGTCCACTCTATTTAGTCATTAGGGATCAGGCAATGTCTATGGGCAACTGACTGCACTCAGACCAAAGGGGGCTGAATAATTACACACACACCACTTTGCAGTTATTTATTTGTAAATAATGTTGGAATCAGGTATGATTTTCGTTCCACTTCTCACATGTTTACCACTTTGTGTTGGTCTTTCACGTGGAATTCCAATAAAATTGATTCATGTTTGTGGCTGTAATGTGACAAAATGTGGGAAAGTTCAAGGGGGCCGAATACTTTTGCAAGCCACTGTATGTAACCAGCATTAACATTAAGCAATCTGAGCTACAGTAGCTTGTCTGCTGGATTGGACTACACAGCCCAGCCTTCGCTCTTCACACGCATCCATAACCTTGTAGCTGGTTCACCACTGTCCCTTCCTTGAACCACTGTTGATTAGGTACTGACCACTGCAGACCAGGAACACCCCACAAGAGCTGCAGTTTTGAAGATGCTCTAACCCAGTCATCAAGCCATCACAATTTTTCTCCAAACCTTACACCTTGAGGGCTCTTGCTCCCTAATATATCCCAGCCACTAACAGGTGTCATGATGAAGAGATAATCAGTCTTATTCACTTCACCTCTCAGTGGTCATAATGTTATGTCTGATCGATGTGTGTTTGTACTGTTATTTCTTGCGTGCAGTAATAACAGAGACTGAATGTCCGTCAGTGTGTTTGTGAACATATTTCAGTGCAAAACTATCACAGTGAGGAAAATCTGATCAGCCTTTATTAAATAGCTAAGGCCAGGGTGAGGTATACCTGCTCCTCAGTGAAAGGAACTCCTCTCTGTATGTTGATTTTCTTCATCAGATCTCCTCCGTCACAGTACTCCATCACTATATAAAGGCTGCCTCTCTCTATACAGACATCCAGAAAACACTTTAACACTGATATAAACTGATACATTACATCTTCTACTCTGAAGCCCACACATACCTTGAAAGGACCGGATGAAGGTGACAATGTTTGGATGTTTCATCTTTGACAGCAACGTCACCTCTTTATTGGATGATTCCTTTTCCTTTGCTGACATCTGAGCAGCAAAACACACAAAAATAAAAGGAGTAATGTGTTCTTGGGAAAAACACTTCTAAATAAGCACTAAATATAGTTTAGAATTGATCACTTGAGCTCTAATGGTTTTATCTGGGCTGCAACTAACCATTCATCATCAGTGCTTTTCAATGTAAGAATATTATTTACTGAAGTTACTCTTGTAACAAATAACACTTAAGCAACACGATTTTTAGCTGAGAGATGTAGAATGTCTCAAGGGCTGTAGTGACATACAAAAGACATAATCTAATGTACACAGTGAGAAAGACAGCTTATTTAAGACTTGTCTTAGTCTATACTGACTGCAGAATATGAGTTGTTTTACAATAACCTGATTCTACTTCAAATGAAGCTGGTACCTGTATATTAGATAAGCTTAATTTGTGCTTGAAGCATACATTACAAAGCTGAGACATTACAAAGCTGCTCGAATGCATGTGTAAGTCACAGAGAGCAATATAGTGTGATCGTTTTCCTGATCCCAGGCAGCACTGCAGGTAGTGAAACTGAGCTATGCTGCTGTACCTTCCTGAGGCTGATCTCTTTGACCACACACTGTGTGTTTCCACCTCCCCCTTTGTCTTTGACCAGGAAGGCTTTTCCAAATGCACCCTGCCCAATCTGTCTGATAACCTCATAGTCGTTCATTGCCCCTGGAAGACAATATGAGGGGCAAACAGTTTAGCTGATGAAACACAAACTCACTGAGACTGAGTAATAATGAAAAAAAAAAAGTAAAATAGTAAACTTTTTGTTCTCATTTTAAAAATTAATGAAAATGTTAAAACGGTGGTAAAACAAAATAAAATAAATGCGTGTAAGCTATTTGCCTATGCCCTCGCCTTAAAAAACGAATCAGTATTATTAACCCTTTCATGCATGAATTATGACAACCTCAATCAGGATTTTTTCTTTTTAAAGTATTGTTTTCATCTTTAGGGCATGAAAAAAGATTTTTGAACTTCATTTTTTTTTTAAACATGTACTATTCAAAGAGTTTTTTTACATGTCCACGTAGGTGGAAACCTTGCTGACCAGTGGGTGGCAGGGTATGGAGCGACACATCAGTGTCCAATGTAGTGGTTTATGTGCAAGTATACCATCAACACTGATACAAATACAAGAAAACAGACTTTGAATAGCTGTCCACTGTTGTGACCACTATGCGTGACAGGGTTAAACAACTTGGAATAAGTTTAAACAACTATTAACGCGTTCATTTTTCTTAATTATTAAGTCGCCGTCGAACACAGACGGAACTAAGGCCGTTGCCATGGAGACTGAAACACAGTCTACTAGCATTCAATTTAGCATGTTTAACACAAGTTCACCAAAGAGGAGGACAGTGCTCACTTTTTCTCTCTTATAGCGACACAGAAGCTCTGCACTTACCCTTTCAAAAGTTGCAAACGCAGAAGTCACATTGCGAAAGAAAACGGCAGCAAATTACTTATAAAGTCATTAGATGAAGCGCTTGTCTTCAGAAGTGTTGAACTACGGTAAGCGCGAAAGGAAACCATGCAGAATGCTGGGAGTAGTAGTTTTTGTAGGCGAGTTCGCCATTAGATTTCGCCTTTATATTTCCCAAGCTGCTCAGCAGTTTCATTTTGTAGTGTTGTGTTACAGCACCTATTATTCATTAATTCATTCGTTCATTTTTATTTGCGCAGTAAACTACTTAAACTGCAACACATTTGGGCCATAAGGGGATTTCTTATTATTATGTTAATGTCAATTATTATTATTATATAAAAGGTTACCTGTTAAATGTATTTGTTTATAATTTCGTTTAAGTCTAACTTTCAACAGGTTATCTATTAAAATGTTCAAAGCAGCTGTTGCATGTCACTTCCTGTACACTCTAATTACGCCTGTTGCAGTATCCGACCTAGACTCGGTTTTATTTTTACACATAAACAGGACACGGACACAGGAAGATTATTTTCTATTGTTTGCTTTATATTACTTTCGATTACTTGCTGGTATACCTGCATTGTAATGTTATCTAAAAATCTTATGTTTACCTGTATAATTTTGGATGTGTTTTTAAGATAAGAACATTTATTTATACTACGTTTGCGTAGTTATTAAAAATGTTTAAGTAAATAGAGGTAGTGGACTGGGTGTCTGCCACTTGGGATCAGAGCCAAAGGCGGATCATGTTTCTCTTGTCAGATTTCAGCATTCACACCCCAGATTGATATTCCAGGCAGCCATCATGTCTGTAGTTATTCATGGTGCGTGTTGCTACGTCTGAAAAAAGGTGATGTAATCCTCTGAATAGCTCCAATATAAAATGGATCCTCACATCTTCAGTTATGAACGGGGTATTAGGTAATCATATCTCCAATTGTAATGACGGCAAAAACAAACTGATAGACGTGTTCAGGATAGATGCTAGACCTTTGGAAAAATGTGTATTTGTGAATAAATGTGAAATGCAGCAAATGTAAAATACAAATCTCTATATGTACTGTAAAAAGCAAAAATCCCCCCAAAAATTATATATTATTGAAAAAAAAAAAGTAGGAACTTTGGTTGTTTAACTATTACTTATTACTCTGGTGTAGTGAGAATAGTTATAGGGGATGTCTTTACCAGTAGGAACAAAACTTATACCCCCCCTTTTACATTTCTGAAAGCTGTCCAGTGGGTCTTAATTGAGTCTTTTCAGGGCCAATTCTTGCCCCTGGGCCTTATGTTTGACACCCCTGATGTAGACCCACAAACAGCCTGTAGGCTCCTGTTTGAGGGCCTCAGGCTGGCACAGGTTGGTAAGAGGAAAGCAGCTCTAAAAGACCTAAACTGAATCAGTACAAGCAGACACAAGTTGAAATTAGCAAACATGAGTGAAACAATAATGAAGGTTTAACACGTAAAACAGACATCAAAGAAATCTAATAGTTTTTCAGTCCAGTATTTAGAGCAGATGTAACTGTACGAACCTCAGCTTTTATGACCTGTCTGCAAACACCTCCCTGCTCCATCAAGGTGACTTTCCATCCACTGCTTTCCCCATGAGCCCCCTGGGTTAGGGCTCTCTTGATTAGTGCTTTAATCATAGACAAATTTCCACCAGGATCCTATGACACACAGGCAGAGAGCCCACTGTGACAGCTGATCTATGTTAGTTCACTGAGGTAACGACTGCATGTGATGACACCGCTGTAAACAGCATGGCCACTGACACTGTCAGTCACATTCTTTATCATGAGTTATGATCTGTATGATGAAAACAAACTGCGTGGTGAACAGTACACTGACTGAAGAAATGATCTGACCTTTCATTAAAGTCAAAGAACCCATAAAAGATGTAGAGCTGATGCACCAGTGTGGCCCACAGTGGGCTGCCACAAACGATTATTTTGATAGTCGACTAGTCACCGATTTATTTTTGCGATTAGTCGACTAATCAGATCATCATCCATTGGACGTAAAACGTACAGCTTATTGCACCAGCAGCATCTGCTCTTATATAACTATCATTAGCTTACAGCTTGAAGTGTCTAAGGTATGTGCTAACTAAAAATAAAGACAAGATGATAGTTTATTAAACGTTAATGAAAGCTGCAGATTGTTTCAGTAAAGTTTAATTAACTCAGCCGTCTGCTCCTTGCTATCTAAAATATAACAGGACACCGGAGTATATTCTCGAGCATCTCACACTTCTGATGATCAGTTGTCTGCTTGATGTTTATTCAGCTGTGTAAAAACTATAACTTTAATCTCAGCCAAGCCGATTTACTCTTAAATCCTACTACTTATTCCTGCGTCTTTTGGGATCTTACACAGCTTCAAACGACGTGTCGAATATTAAATTAGTCGTCGACGATTTTAAAAGTCGACATAATCGTGACTAGTCGACTAATCGCGGCAGCCCTAGGCACACTAAAATAAACATGTACTGCTGGTTTCAAGTAGTCTGATCCTTTGCTCAATAACAGAAATACAGTCAAAATAATTATTAGTGTATATACACAAATTAAAAGTTTATAGGATTTTTCTGAAGCTTCTGGCACAGAAACACACAACACACCATTTATAGTTTCTACCATTTTCTTTATTCTGTATGTCTGCTTATGTTTATAGATCATATACACAAATTGGTACAAGAAGAGTTATCCAAAAAAAAAAAAAATTACACATTCATAAAAAGACAGACAACCCCTGTGAAAAAGATTTTAATATAAGCGTGTTTTTATTTCTCTGAGCTGTCTTTCATCTGAATTAAAATATTGTGTTCTTCGATCAGATTTCACACACTTTAAAGCTCAGCAGCAGAAGCGCGCATTTACACTCTTATTTTAAGATCATTTTCCAGTTAAGAAAACAAGTGCAGTGTATTAACAGCTACAGCAGACAAAATACAAAAAAAGTCTTTGTGGACTGAGTGGTATAAAAGTCGCCCTGTCTTAAAATGTTATATGTGAACTGAAAGCAAGGAAATCTCATATTTACCCACGTCTATTAATGAAGAGCTTGATACTATGTTTGCAGTTAATTTGATTAAAATAATTTACTTTTGTATACTCAGCTGGCTGTAAGCTAATTTATCTCTGAAAATAATTTCTGTATAGAAATTGGAAAATAAAACAAAAAACGCAATGCTTCACTTTTTTTTTTTTTTTTTAAATTTTAGGATCACTGAATATTCACCCAACAGCATCACATTTCACCACGCTCACTCACTCAAACTACCTGAAGTAAAGGACAGGAAACAATAGACAGGTGCGGATTAAAAACACAATCTCACTGCACGCCAGTGACTTTAAGAGCAGTCGTGAGGCGACGAGGCGTCTTAAGGCTCACAGATCAGGGTTTCCACCACAAACTGACTCCCAAAGTGACGAATCTTGTGGCAGTTCAGAGCCTCGCGCTTCTGCATACCTGTGAGGTGATCAGAGAATCTCTTATATAAACTTGTATGGCTGCATTTCGTGTCTCATGTTGCTGAAGAGTACACAGAACTTCCAAACATTCAAATACACAGGTTGCAATGATTTACAATCTCTCTTAATGCTTGCTAAACATTTGTATGGCAGTGCATTTTGTCTTTGCCTTTCCTGTTTGGCATCTGTAGTCTTATATCTCTGTATGTTTAAACCTAAATGAAAGCCTGACATGCTTACCCAGAATCCTGTCTCTGCGCTGCAGTTTGTAGGTGTCTCTGCCTTTGCAGAGGTTGTTGATGAAATAGCCGAGCTGGTCGACGTGCTCCAGGCGCTCGGTCACCATCATCTCCTCACGGACCAGGTAAGACTGAGGCAAGTAGGTGCCAGCCTGGGCAAAGGGAGGAACCAAATGCAAATTATTTAAAGCATGGTGCAAATATGTAAGAGCTTGCGCTTTTTGTTTCTGTATTTCAATTTTTGGACATCTCTTTTCTTTGAGGAGTGCCAGATTCTGCTCAATCGTCATTAATACCGGAACCTGTATTAATAGATCCATGGCAAATAGCAATTTAAAGCAGGCGGCTTGGTGGTTTCAATTCATTTATTTTGGTCCCAGCTGTTTGGAACAGTTTGAAGTGTTTTACACGAGGAAGACGTTAAAGCATCTTCCCCGAGCATCAGTTAGGAACTAGTTTGCTTAACATGTCTGGGAAAGTATGGAATGGTAAATTTGAGCATGTAGGACAGCTATAAATCATGTCATCTAAAACCTAGATTATACTCCATAGTGGATGAAGGAACGGACAGAAGGAGACCTGATGACCGAGAAGTCATTCCTGTTACAATTCTTTCTCATGGGTAGTTGGTGCATTGTAATGTAAATTCTGTGGGGACAAGCCTGCAGGTTAAAAGAAAAAAAAAAAAAAGGCAAACATGTAGAAATCCACACAGACCCTCAAATTCACTGTCTGATGATGAAACTGTTACTTGGACCTCAGCAGATATATGGAAATATAATCCAGGCTTAAGCCAGCACAGGAACACAAATAGGTCTGAACCCTGCACAGTTACCTTGATATTGATGAGAAGGTCCAAAAAGTCTTTGGGAGGCATGACAATGGAGGTGTTGAGTGGGATGACATAGCACTTGTCCAGAGACAGATCCAGGTAAGCAGTCAGCCTCTGAGAAAGAAGGAATACAGTTAGAAAACAGAAAAGTCACTGGTATTTGCTTTTTTCTTTTTCTTTACCTAGTAACGGAATAGAAAGCTGAGTTGGTTATCTTTAAAATGTAAATGTTAAATAGCTAAATATATCTGCATACAGTTTCCCATAAAGGTGCCTATGCTGGGAGATGGGTAAATCATCTCAGGCTGAATTCCTACTGGCTGGTTAGCAGACACTGCATCACTCACAACTCACATGTTCTTCCTAAAATTCTGAAGCTGTCAGAATGTCATTACAGGTGATGTTTGGTCTACTTTGAATCCCTCTAAATGTGCAACCGTAGCTTTGCGTCAACATCACTATTTCCATCTTTTCAAGTACATACCCGGCTGAAGTCGTGGACGATGTCAGCTGGGTCTCCATCTTCAAACTCGGGCACTGGCACA